ACCGTCGAGGCCACATGTTGGCACACTGGTCGCACGGAGCACGACTGACAGCAAGGAGTTTGATGTCCGAGAAGCAGTGGAAGGACGCGTGGACGCACGAGATGCGCAGCACTGATGAGCAGGGACAGATGGATCACATTTTTTTGGAGACGAAGACTTCCAATGACGTCTCGCATGCGTCGGTGTTCCGGAATTTGGAAGGTAAGCCTGACCACCGGGCCATCTTTGCCAAGCTGCGGATAACTGCGCGTTCTCCTCCTCGACACCGCCAGTCCAAGATCATGCGAGGGTGGAAACCAGTCCTCGACGAACAGGAAAAACCTCCCTTGCACCACGGCTTGCTGACGGATAGACTCGCGGAAGGCCACGCCAACCTGTCATATGTGAATGCTATAGTTGTCCAGGCTGCCCAGAATGGTGGGAGACAGCTGCGACGCACCAGAGAAAGCATAGCGATGATGTGGTCGAGCTCTTTGCTGCGAGGCGGCAGGAACACGACCCGAAGCGAAGGAACTCTTTGTCCAAGCGTCTGTGGAGAGCCCTCTGGGCAAGCAGACGACGACGCTACGATAAAGAGATCCGCGAGGCAGCTGAACGAGGTCAAGGGCAACGCAGCCTCCGACGGATCCAAAAGCGACACGCGGGCGCAGAGAGAACCATTTCGATCAGAAACCTGACAGGAGAGCTGGTGACAGATAGCGCAGGCATCGCGGATGCGTTCGCTTACTTTTACGAGGACCTGTACCGGGATGCACAAACAGCTTGAGAGGACGAGCGGCATTGCGCACCCCAAGATATCCCGCTGGTCACAGCTGCGGAGGTCACTGCGGCTTTGAAGCGAATGAAGGGAGGGGGGGCGGGCGCTGCTGACGGACTGGTTGCGGAAATGCCTCGCACAGGGCACGAGGAGTTGATGGGCACCCTTGCAGCATACTTCGCAGATGTTCTCGGTGGGGCCCTGGGCGCGCCCAGCGAGTGGAAGGTCGCGCGGCCGTCGGTCATCTTCAAGAAGGGCGCAATATATGATTTGAAGAATTACAGGCCCATCTCAATCATCCCGGTCATGGCGACGCTGTTCAGCCTCGTGCTGTGCGACCGCATCAAGGAAAGTGTGGAGAAGTAGCTGCGGGAAGAGCAATATGGTTTTTCGTAGTGGTAGAGGTTGTGACGATGCTTTGCACGTTTTGAGGATGGCAGTAGAGAAGTCTGCGGAGTGGGGGGGGGAGCTGCGGGCGGCTACCCTGGATGTCGAGAAAGCTTCCCACAAGGTGTATGATGCGCAGTTTTTCGAGGCACTCATGTTGTCCAGCGTGGATTCTGGAGTGGTGAGGGTTCTTCGAAAGCTTTACAAAGACATGTGCGCATATTTGCAACTATCTCCGGACATAGAGAGTCGCCACTTCGCGGTACAGCGGGGCGTACGTCAGGGAGATCCGCTTTCGCCCGTGCTGTTCAACCTGGCGATGGCGCAAGTGCTGGGGGAAGTCGACGCGCCATGGCAGCGACGAGGATGCGGCGCAGCGATTGGGCGAGCGCTCGACGGGAAGCGCTTGACACACGTTGCTGTCGCGGACGAAATGACACTCGCGGCTAGGTCATGGATTTCCTTGAAGCGCATGGTCGTCCACGTGCGAGATTGACTGTTGAAGCGAGGCTTGAAGTTACACCCTGCGAAATACAAGGCGCGGACAAATCTCCGCGATGTTCGACAACGAGGCGATGTAGCGCTAGACGACGGCTTCTCGCTGAAGGTGCTGGGGGAGGGAGAGCCCTTGGAAGTGCACGGCGCGATGCTTCCGCTCGCAGACGTGACCAAGGCAGAGCTGGAGCACCGGGTGGCGGTGGTGTGGAGAGTTCTGGGCCATGAAACGGCTGTTGATGAAGGCAGATATTGAGCTGGATTCCGGCCAGTGCCGCCGATCCGGGGGGGGTGAGACTTGGGGGCGTCTTGGAGGCTTCTGGAACTGTCTTCGGGGCATCTTGGGCGGTTCGAGCGATGTTTCGGCGATTCGGGGCCCTCTTGCATTGTCCTTGGTGCCTCTGGTGCTTCTCTTGGCTCCCTCTTGACCTGTCTTGGGCGGTCGGGGCTCCGGAAGTGGAGTTTTCTATGCCCCCCTGTCCCCGGGCACCGGAAAACGTCGGAAATGACGTGGGAAATATTCCCGCGTACCGAAAAACGTCGGACATGACGTCGGAAATAACGCGCGCCCCCTCCTGCAGTGCGAAGTTCGAGCGAGCTCAAGTCCACGCTCTCAGAAGTTGTTCGACGCGGCCATCGGCGGTAGTGTCCTCTACGGCGCGGGATCGTGGACGCCGCGCGCGGACGAGACGCGCTTCTTGACCACTGCTAAGAACGGGACGTTGCGACGCATACGCGGCATTCGACGTCGTCCTCATGAGCCATGGCACGACTGGGTTCGCCGGGACACATGGCGGGCGAGGGCCAAGGCGCACGCCGCGGGCGTGAGGGACTGGCTAACGGCGCAAGCTGCGAGGAAGTGGTCTTGGGCTGGGCACGTCTGCAGGTCAAGTGCGGGCACGTGGGTCTGGAGAGTGACGCCCTGGCGTGACTCCGCGTGGACGCAGGATGCAATGCGCGAGGGCCCGGGGAGGCTCATGCGGCCATCGCGCGGCAGACGCATGAAATGGGAAGACCAATTTCGACGGCATGCTGTCCATACTGGCGGGCGACGCTGGGCTTTGATGGCGGGCGACAGGGCGGCGTGGCTCGCCAAAACAGAAGATTTTGTGACGTGGTCGACGGCATAGGTTGAGCGGCCGGCCCTAAAGTAGTCTTGCTGCATGCGCGCCCGCGCGTCGGGCCTCTTCGGAGACGCGCACACTTGCCACTTGCCACTTTAGGGCGGGGAGCCAGGGTGATCCAGCTCGGAAAGACGACATCAGGACACCTTGCTACCCCGTGTTCGGGCATCGGGGCGGCCGCCCCCAATCCTGCCAGGAACAGTTCGGAAAGGGGGAGGCCATGGCGTGCATCAGCGAAGGCTTCGGAACCATTCAAAAGAATGTGTTCGCTTGTGTTCGTCCGCGAGACCCACCGTCCAGAATAGAGTAAGCCATCCGATCATCTGACAAAATGGTCTAGTATTTTCGCTCCTGCAGTTCTTCCTGCAGCTTTTCCTCGTTGGATATGTGTTCGCCCATATCGCCTGCGGAAGCTCCTCTGGAAGAAATTGTCGAACGCCGTGGTTTCTTGACGATCGCCTCCTTGCCTAATGTCGCCAATGGCTCGGATCGTATCTCCTCTCTTTCCCGGTTTCACAGATCTGCCAGGTCCATTGCTGGGTGTTCAGTTCGGCGCTAATCTCGTCCGTGTAGTCCATCTAGCCGCTACATCCTCAAGCGTTCCTTCCTTTTCTCGAGGCTCTTTGCTTGCTCATCTGCGTCGCCTCCGCGACCATCGAGCCTCGCCAGCGCCAGGGTGAAGCGCTTCCTGTATTTCTCCAGCAGGTCAGTGTTCGGCCCCGCGTAGTTCAGCAGGCCGTCTCGGCCCTCCACGATTTCAGCATCACGGCAGTAGGAGTGTCCAGTTCTTTGGCCATTCGTATGATTGTTGTTTTTGTTGTTGTTGTTGTTGTTGTTGTTGTTGCTGTTGTTGTTGTTGTTGAACATTATTACTTCTAAAGAATAATTATTGTTGGGGCCCCTGGTGCACGACCCCCCCGCCGCGCCTAGGCCGCAGCCACATTTTCATCATTTTCGTGAGGAAGTCTCAGGCAAAACGGGGAGTCCGGATCCGGTTGTGTTGTTACGATCGGTTTTCCCTTGCAAAAAATAAGCTAAAGTGGACATTTCTTGTTCTAACATAACCAAACTTCAAGAATCCCTTGCAAAAAATAAGGTAAAGTGGACATTCGCGCGCGCAAGACGAAATCCTTCCAAAACCTTAGTTTTCGTAGCGATTTTAACATAAAAACATCAAAAAACCAATGGTTTTTCAAAAAAAAATTGTCAAAATTTCATCCCGCGCGCTCTTGCGGATTCGTAGGAAACCCAACACTTTTTAAACATTTCTGTCAAACGGGCTTTTGCGAGCAACTTTTTCGAACTTCTGCAACAACGGTTGCGCACCTGCCAGGGCCATCATCCCTGTCAAATAATACCATGCGGGACACATTCGTTTTTTCTTCGCGCGCGCACGCCGTCGTCGTCGGCCGCGGGGCCCTGAATAGTAGCCACGGTCGTCCGCATGCCACGAAGTGAAGTGTCCGAACGTCATAGGGCGGGAAGCTGGGTGTGGGTGGTGGCGAAGAGTCGTTTGGAAATTTGGTAGAGCTTGAACCGGCCCCCCCACAAAGTGGGGGTATTGCCCGCCTCCTATGAAAACCCTGGCACTGGTGAGAACGGAGTGTCCCCACGTGCTAGTAATTGTTGTTGTTGTTGTTGTTGTTGTTGTTGTTGTTGTTGTTGTTGTTGTTGGGTTCGTTCCGGTCTTTGGTGAACGTTCGGCCGCGCCTAGAAATCTCAACCACAGCACCACAATACCAGTTTGACTGCGTGTCTCGTTGTCTCGTGGTCTTTTCGCAGCTGCAGGGTAGGAACGAACATGAACTACATCCCAAGGCCGTACGTTCTCTCCTTTCGGAGTAAAGATATGGCTACACCAGTGGATCCAATTGGATCATTTTCTGGATGTTCCGTGGATCCTATCTCTGTGCTGCGCAAGTCCCGTTTCCTGTGTGTGTGGAAAATCAATGGGCCCATCATCCCTTTTGAACCGATCTATAGAAGTATTAACTGATATTCTGGGCCAACATGAAATTAGGTCCACGGGGCATTGCACGTGAGACAATTTGCTATTCACGGAGCTGTGGTTTTGCGGCGAAAAGAGGGGAGGATGTGGAAATTCGAGCGCCACAGCGGCCTTGGTTAGAGCTCCTCCCATAGCGTACGGTTGCTCGAACGCTACAGATATATGGAAAATCAGGAGAGGTCTTACGAACGAAGGAGTCCTTTGAGCGTACTTTTGGACGCCCTTTCAGGTACGCAGCGCCTGGGATCGCCGACGCGGTCGCGCGGCGACGCCCGCGCCCTGCGTTTCCGAGGGCCCCAGCCAGCGGCCCCAGGCTGTACTTTTGAGTGCCCCCCCCCCTTGAACGAAGGATTGCAAAAAAAACGAAGGATTGCAAAAAAAACGAAGGATTGCAAAACGAAGGATTGCAAACAAAACCGCGCGAAGGATTGCAAAAAAACCCTGCAAAACAAAGGATTGCAAAACGAAGGATTGCAATCCTCCGTTCAAAGTACACCCGCCCGATCGCATGTTTGAGAAATGCGCTCAAAGGCACGATTCTTCAGGAGCTTCTTCAAATTCTTCTTCCGAGGCGGCCCCGGCGAAAGTCCCTCGCCGTACTCTTGAGCCAGCCCCCCCCCCCTCCCTCCCGCGACGGGGGGGAGGTCTCGGCAGGGCGGGGGGGGGCCAGGAGGCCGGGGGAACGCGCGCATGCACGGTGGTTCTCCCGCCCCCCCCCGCTGCGATCTTCGGCAGCCCGCATGTTGGATGTTTCCCAGAGGGGCAAGGCGCACACAACTCTTTTGGATCTTTTCCGAACAGCGGGCCTGGTCAATTCCCGCATCTGTTCCCATAACGTGTGGCACGGCCCGATTCGAAGCGGGCGCAACATACTTCCGTTCACGTGAGCGGCACGGCGCTTCCGACATCTCTGGCTCAAGAGGAAACTCTTTCGGCCCGCGTAAGCCTGGCGGGCAGTGCAACAAGCTTAAAAGCTCAAAGGACGGCCAACGCCCAAGCGGCAGCGGGCAGGCCGGGGAGGTGAGTGACACGGGCACGGGCAAGGCTATGAGAAAGGGGATACGGAGGAGGAGGTGGAGGAGGAGGAGGAGGCTATGAGCATTCATACGGGCTCGGGGGAATGACCTCCAGGGAATCTTGGGCGAAAGAACGGTGTCGGCGAAGCCAAACGAGCGGGCCACTCGAGACATCACCACAGTCTGGGCGCGAACGAGGGAAAGCGATACCCCCTGGCAGCTGCTTCTTGGAATGCCGAAGTGGCATGATTGCGTTATGGCAGTGGTCATGAAGATCTCCAACGACGAGCCGGCGACGCCGAACGAGCGAACTTCGCGATGCATCCCCACGATCTGGGCGCGAGCGGGGAAAGGAGATACCCCTTCTGGCGGCTCCTCCCTGGGGTGCTGCAGTGCTATGCCTGCTGCATCGCGATGACCATTGGCGAGTCTCCTGGGCGTAAGTGGTCTGAGTCTGAGTGAGTCTGGATCTGAGTGGGTCTGAGTACCAGCTGATATGAGTGTATGCGGTCTGAACTTGAGTAATCGCAGTACGAGCGAGTCTGAACGTGAGTGGGCCGAGTGCGCGTGAGTCAGAGTACGAGTGAGTTTGTCGGTGAGTCCGAGAATGAGCGAGTCTGTGTCTGATTGGGTCTGAGTGTAAGTAATCGGAAATACGAGGGGCTGAGTGTGGATACGTCTGAGTTGGCTAAGCTAAGTATCAGTGTGATTGAATACAGCTAGGCTGAGCTTAGTGGGAGCCTACGTAAGTGTGCCAGGGGGCGGGCCAGTGAGAATGGAGGCAGAGGCGTCACACGAACATCAAAAGCCCCATCTTGGAATGTGGGGAAACACACTAGTGAGCACAGGGGACGGTGAACCTGGGATGCGAGGGTACGACGCAGGAATGTTACGTACTGTTGCCCGCGCCGTTTGTTTGTATGCACATTTTCTCTCACATTGCACTGTCCTATTTGTGAGCGGGTTGCAGGTGCTGTTGGCTCATCCCTCGCGAGGTATCACGTCTGTATCCGCTTCCAGCTCCTCAGCCCTCTCTCCCTCAATTGTTTTGCATGCCCAAGGCAAAATCCCCATTCAGTCCGCCCAGCGCTTCCTGCAATCATGATCACGAACATCGTCCCTCACATCCTCCGCTCGCTTGCATATTCCTTCCTTGATCAAGCCACTCGCTGTTTTGCCTTACTCAATGTTGTCCTCCTGCTCCATCGGCATTCGCTGCAAGTACCGGGCGACGTCGACGCAGATTACCGCCATCTGCCGGTGCGGGCGCTGTCGTCTCGTTGCATCAATATGTATAGTTTATTTCTTGTTTGGTTTATCTATCCTTCCCTTCACTCTGTATCCCTCCTTCCTCTTCCCCGTCCCCCTGTCCGTCCTTCATCCACCCTCTCTTCTCCACCACATGTTTCCTTCTTCTTTTCATCCTCGATCATTTTCCCCCCTCCTCTTCCCCACGTTCTTGCTCTTCTCCCCATTCTCTCCTTCCTCGTTCGTCCCCCCTCCTGCTCGAGCATCCGTCCGTCATCCCTGCCCTTCCGTCCTCTATCGAGAGGGCTCGAGGGAGCAGGGTTTGCCCCCCGCTCCCTGAGAGTAGAGTGACGCGGGAGCGGATGGAGGGACGGAGGATGGAGGACGGATGTAGGCAGCAAGAGGGTACGAATCGTTGTGGGAATGGACGGAGGGACGGTGGAGGAGAGATGGGAGAGAAGGGGGCAGCAGGGAGGGGGGAATGGGGGCAGGGTTGAGGCCAGAAGGATGTCCTCCTCGTTCCCCAGCTCCGTGCTCCCTCCTCCTCCTCCTCCTCCTCCTCCTCCCCCTCCTCCTCCTCCTCCTCCTCCTGGTATTAGTAGTCGTCCTTCTTCTCACTCTCTTTCCTTTCCTCTTGGTGTTTTCAGTCGGACAGGCTGGAGGGTGGAGGGGCGGAGAGACGGAGGAAGGATGAACTAGTTTGGAGAAGGAAGCATGGGATGAGGCCGTACCCCCTCCTCGGCGTGGATCCTGACGAAAGACCCAAGCATATGGCTGCCGTTGTGAAAAAGCTTTCGGCGGAGCTCACTGCGGGGCCACGAAACGCGTGAAGGGAGCAAACAAATGAGGCGGGGCCGCCGCTGGGGCCGCCCGCAGGAGGCGCGGAGATCAGACGAAACGGGCTACATGCTGATGATACTTGTTGCGGCTGACAGGCACCGGGAGAAGCGGGAGAAGACATGCGGGAGCGGCATGCGAACGCAGCCATTGGTGCCTTCGGTGGAGCTCCCCTATGGGGCTACGAAACGTGGGAGGGGTGTGCCAAAGTGGGGGCGGTGGCGGCATGCGAACGCACCCACTGGGGCCTTCGGTGTAGCTCCCCTATGGGGCCACGAAGCGTGCGAGGGGTGTGCCAAAGTGAGGGGTGGACAGCATGGAGCTCCCCTGTGGGGCCACGAGACGTGTGAGGGATGTGCCAATGTGAGGGGGGGGGGCGGCATCCGAGCGCACCCACTGGGGCCTTCGGTGGAGCTCCCCTATGGGGCCACGAAGCGTGTGAGGGGTTTGCCAACGTGAGGAGGGTGACGGGAGGAGGAAGGGGGAGGAGGAGGAGGAACGGGAGGAGGAGGAGGAGGAGGAGGAGGAGGAGGAAGAGGAGGATACGCGGGGACTGTCTCTCCCAAACGAGGACCCAATGCTAATTACAGGATGATTGGGGAAACGCGGGAGCACAAACAGGAGACGCCACCCATCCCCATCCGTGGGAGGCAGCTCGGCCAGCGGGGCCAAGTTTTGCCGAGCGGGGGTGGGGATGATTCAGTCCGTCCAGAGAGGAGGCATCGGGGAGGTTAGAAGGAGGATGCGGGATGGATGGAGGAGTGGTGGAGCGACTAGAGAAGGATGAAGGAGTTCGGAGATTGGGAGGTGGAGGAACCGAGGATGGAGAAAGGATAAGGATAGGATGGAGCAGGTGGAGGGGTGCAGGCGTGGATGGGTTGAAGGGGGAGGAGGACGACGATGACGAGTTGCGGCCCAATTGCCTCTGAGGATAGTTGCTTAGTAAGTGGCGTTCCCGTCAGAGTCGGGGGGGGGCAGACGTCAAGCAAGACGGTATCGTAAAGCAATGATGTGAGCACCTCTGGCAGCCGAAGCACGTGTTTCATGCCATCCACATCGTTGTCCCTCCCTGATGAAGGTGAGCCATTCCTCGAGTGTGGGCACCAGAGGTCCAAGGTTACTTGATTAGTGAATTTAATTTGTTTTAGGGTTTTAACAAATGGTCGCAGCCACGCAGAGGGCGTGCGTAGCGACGCCCCACATGCTCGGTCTCCACTACTTCTACGTGGCGGCGCCCCCGCAGGCACGCAGAGGGCACGCATGGCGACGGGGGCGTCGCCAAGCAGAGCTTCCAAAGAACAAACATTTTGAAAACCAATTGTTTCCACTACTAAAGTACTCGTAATCTACGTCCAGGGGTCGCCTGTCGTCAAATGGGGGCCCCCCCTTTGTTCGAAAGGGAGGCGCGGGGCAGCTGCCAGTGCGGCGTGACCGCAGCAAACCTGCGGAGGGAGGCGCTCCTCCTCCTCCTCCTCCTCATCCGCCTCCTCCTCCTCCTCACCAGTTCTTACCAGCCTGGTCGACAGTTGGAGAGTGAGTGCCGCGAAACAGTGAACACGTGTAAGGTTCGTGTGGTTTTGAAGCGGGGGGGGGGGAAGATGTATTCAGAGCCCCGAATCATCAGGGATAACTCGGGTCGGGGCTGACTTTTTCGGGATTCCGAACCCGAGTTACCCCGGGCCCGAGTTACCCCGGATAACTCGGGCGTCCAGAGCCCCAAATCATCAGGGGTAATTCGGGTCAGGGCTAACTCGGGTTCGTTTTTCGGGAATCCAAACCCGCGTTACCCCGGACCCGAGTTACCCCGGATATCTCGGGCGCCCAATATATGGCGAATGTAACCCAGTATTATGTGAACGGCACCCCGGCAGCGAACCCGATGTTGTTCCTAGATGTGCAGGAAGTGGTTGGCTATGGCAACAGCAGGGGCCTCGATATGGGATGGGTATGTCAACGAGTGCGGCTGCATTGAGAGGAGGAAGCCTGCCTCGGGCTACTACATTCATTACTGACGAGGGCGGCGTTTGTTTGTTGGTCAAGTACGGGTTCGATGCCTCGGAGGTTGGCAGGTGCGGTCGAGTGCTTACTCTTACGCGATCTGTTGAACTTACGCAGCAAACGAAAATAGTTGATGATGTCGAGTGTTGTCATTGGGCCAATGTCGCTGTCGATGATGCCTCGTCGTGCCCAAATCCAGACTGACGTCCGTTTAAGTAGTACCGCACCAGCGACGGCTCCGACAATACCTTCGGCACTTGGCATGGTAATCTTCAGACCAGTTTCAGTCTTTGGATACTCCAGTGAGTCAATCCAGCTGTTGGGCATGTTCAGACATTTTTAATGTGGGCTGGTACTGTTGCTCCTCTTGCACGGGTGTCCCGTGGCTCCCAGCTTCTAAGGTTGGGCGAGGACTCGTTCTGCGGTGCTGCGTACTGTCTCGAGACCACTACTCTTGTCGTCCCATCCATTGAATGACAACCGAATTGATCTGCGGCGGCGCCAATTACACCGTTTCATTGACACTCACAGATCTTCGTGTTGCGGATTGAGGACCAGTCAGGGTGAAGGATATCTGGGCGGACGAAGATGCAGGAGTTGTTTTCTCCCGGTGGCGCTGGGCACAATCAAGGTACCGTTGATTGACGTACGTTGTGTTGCTGTTGCACCGAGCTCTGAATTTGTCGAAGTTTCGTTTGAAGCCGACGAGTTTGATTGCATACGCTGAGGACGTTCAGCGATCTCAGAGAGCACGCGTCGGCAGCAAACGCGAACGCCCTCTGAGCACAGGCGTTCACGGGAATGGCTCAGGGACGAGCATCGCAGTGAGCAGCGTGCGGTGGGCGAGACTGCGCGCCACGCCGCGGTGTGGGAGATTGGCCGCTCCCGCGCCCCGTTTCCACTGCGTCCCTCCTTCCCTCTGCCCCCATATCCTTCCGCCTCTTTCTCGTATTAGCCTACCCCTGAGCCCATCGCTCCAGGCCCTGCTGTTTCGTCCAGCTCTCCTCCCCCCTGCGCGTGCCCTCGCTCTACACCGAGTGGACCTGCCGCGACCGGAGGCCACGCTTCCAGGGTGAGCGGCAGCATCAGACGTGTGTCTGAGGTCGAGGACGTCCGAAGGAGCGGTCTTTGCCCCGGCTGCCGTTTTGCAGGCTCCCCTTAGCCGCCCACGACGCGCGCAGAGACCCCCCCACCCACGCGATGCACCCACGCCCAGGCCCCGCGCAGGTCAGCTACACCCCCCCCTCCCGCGCCCCAAGGCTCCACACCACCGAGTGATCCCCCACCCCCCGCCGCGCGCTTGTTGAGGACCTGCGAGCACGTCAGGCCTCCCTCCGTGGCGCGAACGTGACCTCGCTTCGCGGCCTGGGCTGTGGGGCTGTCCCCCCCCTGGGGGTTCGGCGCGAGAGTGCGACGACAGACGCGGCGAGCGCGATCGAGCGAGCGACCCACGCGATCTCACGCGCAGCGCAAGACGCCGGTGCACAGAAAGACCCACGCGAGCAGCGCGGGCACGGCACCCTGCGCGAGAGTCCCAGCCTCCCCGAGAGGTGCGGGTGCTCAAGCTCTGGGAGCACCTGGGCCTGCGGCTGGCAGACGAGTGCGAGTGGTGCGCGGCCTGGGCTCCTGTTGCCTCCTGCTCCTGCTACCACTCCTTGTCCCTTCTGCTGCTCCTCCCTCCCCATCGGTCCCCATCCTGCTCGATCCTTCCCTCAACCCTCCCCTTGTTGCCCATTCCCCGCGCACATCCTGCCCCCTCGTTCTGCGAACTTCGAGCACTTCGAGGATATGCCCTGCTGGAACGCGATCAAGGTCGAGGAGGTGCGTTTCACGTTCATCGTGGAAAACCAGCGGCAGGGAGCGGAGAAGACAACAGTTGCCGAAGCCAGAATCGGCACGAGTGGAGGAGAGACAGTGGCGATCGGCACAGCAAGGGTGAACAAGAACCGGGGCAGGGTGGCAGTTGCAGCGAAGCGTAGGTGTGACAGGTCAGTTCGTAACCAGGCAGAGCGGTTTCTGTTCCCTCATCCCCCCTCCTCCCAGTGAGGGCCTCCCTGCCTCGTCTCCGTTCCCCTCCAGCAGAGCCGGAGCGATCGTCGCTCAGGGCGCTGCCACCGGCCCGACGGTTTTAGTCGGTTTGGAGAGGATGGCGGCAGCCAGGGGAGCGAGCGAGCCAGAGCCTCGCTGACTCTGGCTGACCGTTTGCTGCGCTGACCTCTCTGCACCCCAGCAGGGGGCAAGAGAGAGGAAGCGTAGGCGTTCGAAGGGCCGAAGCGGTGGGACCATGCTTGCGCATCTCCTTGCCGACGGTCCACCAGCGCGTGAGCACTGGCTCCCATGCTGGCGGGCTGGGCGGGTGGTTACAAGCTCTAGCCCTTCGCCCTTTCTGTCAAGCGTCCCGCAGGGGCATTCCAATTAGGCTGGAGGCAAACTTGACTCTATAAAGCAGGTTGCAGCACTGAAAAACGCTGTCCCCCCCCGCGTTCCATCCATCCATACATCCTCCCTCATATCTCATCCTCCAGCCTCCCCCCTGCCTCCCTCATCATCCGTCCGCCGTCCTCCCTTCCGCGCGCGAGTGACCGCTGAAGTTGCGGTGAGGAGCAGCGGGCATGGTGGCCAGTTGTGCGTGGTTCTTTCAGAGTGGAGATCGGAACCACAGAGTCGTACATTCGGCATCATCCTCTCATCCCCCCTGTCATTGCCCGATGTCCTTCTACCGCTCATCTGAGACGGCATGATCGACTCTCTCTCTCTCTCTCTCGACACGGCATGGGGCATGATGCGGCACGGTGTAGCAGGTGAACCGTGGCTGTAATCGGTTGCGTGCGCGAGATCCCGTCCGTTTGGCCTTCAGACGCCACCTCCAGCTGCCACGGTAACCGCCTTCCCAAAGGTACATGAAGGCCGACCCTGACACGTACATCAACTTGATTGCATTGTCCGAGCGTTTGAGGCCATGCGTTGTTGGAGGGGTGGGGAGGTCAGGCGAACATGGGCGTGAATGTTACTGGAAGTCGTCTAATATGTTGACTGCCCCAGTTGCAGAGAGGGAGAGAGAGAAGGAGAGAAAAGGAGAGGGAGAGAGAGAGAGAGAGAAAGCACAGCAACAACATCAGTAGCAGGTGCCGGTAACAGAAGAAGTTTGAGTGGTGATGCTATCGTAGTAGTATCAAAGTAGCGGCAGGAAGAGCGGTGCAGTTCACGGTGGTATTGTGTCCCTCTTGTGTGTGGTGGGTATCCGTGATTGGACAGTCCCCGGCGCGCCGTGGGTCGCGGCCCCATTGCTGTGTCTTTGCGCGCCCCCAGACAACCAAGAAACCATTTCGGTCCTCCCCAGAGGAGCAGATGGATACCCGAGGTCATCCGCACAGGGCAGGTATAGCCGCACCTACCTCACCGTGCAGACTGGCGACAGACGCGCGATCTGCGATTGCGATGGCCACTGCGATTCGCGCAATCCCCGAGCTGACGGCCAAGCGCTGCAGTAAGGATGCGTTGCTTCATCTAGGCTGCAGCTGTAGCCTCGGATCTTGCGCTCCTCTGCTTCGGCCCCGCCGCTCCGAGTGTGTCAACATGTGCGCCCAGGGGTCTCGCATTCCTGCCCCGCCGCGTCCCTGGTGTCCCTCTACAGGGGGAATATTCAAAAACAATGAAAATTGTCTGGGGACGATTGTTGACTATTTTTGTGTATTAGGGGGGTCTGTTTTGAGTTGTTTTTTTATTTCACAGAAAATCCCGCTGTAGGGGGACACGCCCGACTTAAGCTTGGACCAAGGAGACCAAGAGGGGGATGGGGAGGAGGAGGAGGAAAGCAAGACGATCGGAGGAGGAGGAGGCGCTGAGCGGCAGGTGGGCCCAGCTCGGCTTTCAGTGCTGGTCGCCTTCCGCCGCCCCGTTGTCCCTGCCATGGCCTTCTAGGTGCGCCAGCGACCGACTCGTGCCGTCACCGTCTGACAGGGATCGACCTGAACAGTGTCGCTCGTTTTTGTTTTGTCTCGAATCCCGCCCTTGTCGCGAAACGAAGCCGAAACAAAAACGGCCCACGAGATCGCCAACGCACCGTTTGGGTCGAGCCCTGCCATCCGACCGACCGGTGAGGAGGGGGTCGCGCTCCCAGGGGCAGTCGCAGGGAGTGCATTGCCTCCTGGCCCAGCCACTCTGACTGTGCAAGCGTGGGGGACACCCTGCCCTTTTATCGTCTCCCAAGCTTGTGCAGTCGCAGCAGGGGCAGGAGGAGGAGGAGGAGGGAACAAGATGAGAAGGAGGAGGAGGAGGAGGAGGAGGAGGAGGAAGTGAAGGAGCAGGAGGCGGAGAAACAGGAGAAGGAGGAAGAGGTAGCAGCAGTAGGAGACAGTGAAGAGCAGGAGGAATAATGAGACGGAGGAGGAGAAGGAGGAGGAGAAGGAGGAGGAGAAGGAGGAGGAGGAGGAAGGGGAAGGCGCAGGAAGGGGATGTGGATGAGGAGGGGAGGGGAGGCGGGGGGAGACGGAGGGCTGCAGGATTTCACGGTCCTATCCAGTATCTGTTTGGTTCGCCTTGGGTTTATCCTTGGATGGCCCGAGGCCCGAAGAAGCCCACCTGGAGGCCGAACTGGATGGAGAACGCCCGACTTGCTCGGCTCGCGACGCCCAGAGAGGTCGAGGGATGCTCGCCACGCAGCGGCGCTGCTCCTGGCCACGTCGATCCTGGGCCCGGGGTCGGTGCATTCGCCCTCCTGGCCAGGCCAGGGCGCCTGGCATCGCTCGGACGTGTGCATTTTTGTTCTCGGCGAGAGCCATTGAGGACGATCCTGGATCATCGAGCAAAAACACACGCACGGAACCGAAACATGCACGCGAAGTGGACGTCCGAGCGATGGCGAGCAGGGGGGCGCGAGCACTCCTCCTGGCTCGGGAGGCGCCTGGGCTCACGGGAGCTGCCGCCCAGAAGGGTCGAGGGATGCTCGCCACGCAGCGGCGCTGCTCCTGGCCACGTCGATCCTGGGCCCAGGGTCCTCCTCCACCTCCCCCTCCTCCTCCTCCTCCTCCTCCTCCTCCTCCTCCTCCGTCTCCTCCGCCGCCCCCCCCCCCTCATTTGCTATACTCTGGGCCTCATAGATGGGGTCGGAGTAGGTGGGGTCGGAGGATCGCGTCGCATCGGGGATGCAGCATCGCCGAGGTATCGGCGGTGCGGATCGATGTGGGGCCCACTTTTCTCCACGCCGATGCGTCGCCGATGCGTCGCCGATGCGCCGCCGAGGTCGCCGGTGCATCGCCGATGCATCGCCGATGCATCGGGGCTGCGTTGGCGAGGCGGCGCGATCCTTCGACCCCATCTACTCGGACCCCATTTAGGAGGCCTCTATATACCCCCCTTCCCTGTCGCCTGCCCCGAGAGGGGGACCCCACGGAGGCCGAATCTCAGGGAGAGGCCCCCGGCGGGACTCGCCCGCCCCGGACCCGGGGCGCCCTGCTCCCCTCGGGCGGCCGCGGGAGGGGCCCCGGGCCAGGCCAGCCGCGGCCTTGGCATCGCTCGGACGTGTGCTTTTTTTCCGGCGAGGACCATCGAGGAGCACCCTCGATCATTTGGCGAGAAAGCCACGCACGAAACCGAAAAAAACACAGGGAATGGACGTCCGAGCGATGGCCAGCGGCCGGGGTGGTGGGTGGCTCTAGCAGCTTGCACGGGAGGCAGGAGCAGCCCCGGCTCTTCGTGGGTGGGGCCCTCTCCGCCTCTCTGGGCCTCCTGGATGGGATCGGAGCAGAGGGGGTCGGAGGATCGCGCCGCATCGCCGATGCATCGCCGATGCATCGCCGATGCGGCCCGAAGCGGAGCCCGATTTTTCTCCACGTCGACGTCGCCGGTGCATCGCCGACGTCGCCGATGCATCGCCGGTGCATCGCCGATGCATCGCAGATGTATCGGCGATGCGGCGAGATCCTCCAAACCCATGTACTTGGACCCCATCTAGGGGGCCTCTAGCCTCAGAACGTCCTTCGAGCGGGGCATCTCCAAGGGGCCTTGGGGCCTTGTTCTGGATCCGCGTTATTGTGGCCTCGTTCCGATTGTACCTCCTGGAGGAGGTGGCAGTTGGCTTCCACGCCCTCCTCGACAGCTCGTCGCTATCAGATGAGTTCCCCCAGTTGTGGCTAGGTGGTGGCTAGGTGGCGAGTCCCGGTGTCGGGGGTGCCAGTGCCGTCTGGTGACAGATCGTCCGATGATTTCCAAGTCCCAGAGATTTCGGCGCGCCGCTCGGGCGGATCCTGGGACTTGGGAGGCCCCAGGCGCTCGAGACCTTTGCGGTGAGCGGTCGGCGGTCGGAATCCCAAAACAGGCCGTTCGCCCTCGATCAACTCGGACTCACCAGACGCAAGTCGGACGGAAGGGTGGGGTCTTGTGACGGGGTGTCACCACCCACCAAACCACCCCAACCCAACCCGAAGGCATCAATTTGCCCTCCCTTTCTAGTGGGGGGGGGGTCGGGGAACATTGAGAAAACACGTATGGAACCCGTACCCCCCCCAACCCGAAATTCGGGTCTTCGGGTTGGGTTGGGGTGGTCGGGTAGGTAGTCGGGGTGAAGCACGGAAGCTGTTGCCTGCAGGTACTCTGCGGTGCCCCGCCGCCGCCGTCCATTTTTCCTGAGTGCACGGCCGCCCTCGGCGCCGGGAGGCGCCTGTGAAGCCAGATGATCAGATGCGTGGGCCAATTCGCAGCACCCTGCACCCCCGTCCTCCTCCTCCTCCCCCTCCTCCTCCTCCTGCTCCTCTTCATATTCACCCTCCTCTGCTGTCCCCCCTCTGGCCCGAGACAGTCTACTCGCCCCGAGTGACCTGCGCGACTCACCGGACGGCGTGGTTCGGGCAGGCATGGGATGGGGAGACACTGCTGCGGGGCGCTCGGGAACGCTCTGGAGCGGCCGCGGCACCCGATGCATGCTCGAGACGCGCGGGCTCTCAGATCTGCCCGATGTCTCTTCATCCAAACCTATCCTCATCCTGCATACGTCTTATTTGAGGCACAAGACGGTTTGGTCACTACTTACCCCGAATCACTTTTGAATCAGCATATTCGGCGGAGGCAGAAGGGGTGGAAAGCCAAAGAACAGGTATCACACGTGTTCGCGGGGGAGACTCGTCGAAGTCACAGGCGATCGGGACTTTTCGATACATTTGGTTTTCGCCCCTTTTGCCGTCCGTCCTGGTTGCAGAGCGCATGTGGACTCCGACTGGATTCGATTCGATTTCAATTTCCGATTTCGGATTCTACGGGATTCCGATTTTGATTCCGATCTCGCAAGTGAGGCATACTAGCCTTCCGATGTCTGCCGATTCGACTTCTCTCGGCACGGCTGCCGATCTCCGCCCACCCGATTCGTTTCGCGCCGATCTGGCTTCTCGAGTCGATTCTAGGCTCTCTTGTGGTTGCAGCCGCCGACAGACGGCCTGGTTGCCAGCCCGCTTCGGATCTCCCCCCCGTCGTCGCCGTCGTCGTCGTCGTCGTCGTCGTCGTCGTCGTCGTCGTCGTCGTCGTCGTCGTCGTCGTGGACGTCGTGGTCGTCGTGGTCGTCGTCGTCGTCGTGGTCGTGGTCGTGGTCGTGGTCGTGGTCGTCGTCGACGTCGTGGTCGTCGTCGTCGTCGTCGTCGTGGTCGTCGTCGACGTCGTGGTCGTCGTGGTCGTCGTCGTCGTCGTCGTGGTCGTCGTCGTCGTCGTCGTCGTCGTCGTCGTCGTCGTCGTCATCGTTGTGGTGGTCGGTTTCGTCGTCGCCATCGCCGTCGTCGTCCCAGCTGCTTCGACAGCGGCTCGCCGCTGTTCCTTGGCGCCGTGCACGCCGCGGTGCCACCACGGCACTTGCAGGAGTGGCGGCACCCTTCGAAAAGGAGGAGGAGGAGAAGGAACAGGAGGAGGAGGGGGGGAGGATGGGGAGGAGGAGGAGGAGGAGGAGGAGGAGGAGGAGGAGGAGGAGGAGGAGGAGGAGGAGGAGGAGGGGGAGGAAGAAGCACCGCCGAACCGAGATGGTCCGCAGACTGCAAGATGCCCGGGCTTTCATCGGTGCCCTCCCCGACGAGATGGGCACCCGGGTGGCGCGAGCAGGCTTGGCCTGGGACCACGTGGAGGACTACCTGGAGCCCGTGGCACCAGGCTCCGTGGCCAGGGCCTTCGGCCACCGGAGGACACCGAGGGCGTGCAGCTCATCGAGCAGGCACGACAACGCCCACACGTCCTCGAAACCCCCCTGCGCCACGTGTCCCGCAGATGATTTTAGCTATCAGACGGTCGCGCTGCAAGATTCATGAGTTGACAGAAATCAGTGGGCAAGTGGCCAGGATGCACCCGCAGCCTGGCCATCTGGCGGTTCCTTCGGAACCCTACCGACGTCCGCCAGATTCACCACGTTGGCGTCGCGTTCGACGCCCACCAGCTCATCGGCGAGCGTCGGAAAAGGAGCTCTCATCATCCAGTTTATATTTGGTGACGAGCCGTCGATGGTGACAGACACCGGACAGGGCCTGGACGGAACGTTCGATGATTGCGTCATCGACAGTCCCGAGGGCGCCGCCAGCACCACCGAAGGTGGATTACCGTCTGCCATGTCTCACTATACCAGAGGAGACCTGCAGCGACTTCTCCGGCCGCATTCTATTTGTGACGTTGGGAGCTTGGCGCGGAGTCGAGGGTGCGGAAGATCTGACCCAGGAGCTGGAGAAGCTGGAGAGCGCCGACAACCAGCATCTGATCTCCGCTGCTGTCGAGCACGCCGCGGCCGACCTGGGCCGTAGGGCGCCCGAGTGGCCCCAGCACCTCGAGGCGCAGCACTTGCGTCGGAGCATCAACGCGCAGTGCCACTACCACTTGCGCGGGGCCTCCTCGGGCGACAACGCCACGCTAAAGGAGGCTGTTGATGTTGGTAGACACGTGAGAGCGTGAAGCATTCCTGAGCTTCAACGACGCCGCGTCCAGCGACTGTGTCGCGGGCGCTCCTCCGACGGCTTAATCCGGCGACTGTGTCGCCGGCGCCCCTTAGACTGTTGCGCTTGACATCTATGCCGCCACCAGGATCGAGGGCACCAATCGCGACGCTGGCCTGCTGTCCAGGGAGGAAGTGCCGAGGCTGTCGAAGGAGGCCATTCTCGAGGAGTTCGCCGTCTGGGTCATGTGCAAATGTTTCCAGGGGCGGCCGCTCGAAGGCGCCCGAAACGCGATGAACCCCAAACGCGATTTCAAGTGCAAGCACCGGAAGGGATCAGACGGCAAGGCTGCCAGGGTCATCCGGCGCCGCGCGGCGCTGGGGGGCATCCGCGAAATGGGCGTCGGAGCCTCGGAGACGCTCGCTGGGACAGAAGGTGGGCGTCTCAGCGCCTACTATCCTCATAGGCGGCGCGTCGCCCCGACCGGGCGCGCGTCGCCACGAGCGTCGAGGAGGCATTCCTGAGAGAGGTGGCCGACGCAGAGACGCAGGAGCATGGCGGCGCCTCCGGGGCCTTATCCACGCTCGCCCGGTCCACGAGCCCACACGAGTGCAATTTCAAACTTGCGCGGCGGGGCCTGGAGCGCGAGGTCAAGCCCGCGACGTCCAGCGGGCGCGCTGCCGCCGTCTCGGAGCTAACGTCCACGTTGCCCAGGCATGTCGACGATCCAAAGATCGCTGGGCACAAAGAGCGCGTCGACCGGCTGATCGGCCACATCGGGAACGTCTTCGGCTAGATGAAGAGCGCTGCTACGATTGCACCAACTGCGGGGCACGCCAGCACCGCCGCGCCGATTGGGCCGTGACGCTCGACCAGGACGAGTGCGTCGACGCTCTGACACAGATGAGACGCGCCGACTTGGCCGCGGCCAGGGCTGACGAGCCGGCCGGATGTTAGCTTTCCGACGTCTGACTCTCTTCTGGACGCAGCGGCCTGCGCCCTGCTCGCCCGGCGCCGCGTCGCAGCGTGCACCGCCGCCCTGCAGAGTGCCAAGAACAAGCGGCTTATCCGACGTGCGATGCAGTTGAAGTCTTGTTCTGGCCGCGCAAAAGATTCAAGGCGCGCGTCGCAATCCCACTAATCGAGCGCGCCTGGCGTCTCGGCGCGCAAAGCGACGGGTCCTTCAAGAGAGACGAGGAGTCCGGGTGCGCCATGAGAGGGGCCGTATACCTACGTCTCGGCAGCGGCGAACAGGCGTGCCACACTGCCACAAACGAACAGGCGTGCCACCTGCTGCCGCAGTGAGCCGATCGCACATGCTTGCGCGCAGATCCTCATTCGGCTCCGAGCTGCTCTCAGCGCGCGTCGCAGCGGCGCAGCAGACGGCGCGCATGCGCACCCCATCACGTCGCGCGCGACGGTGCAAGGCCCCGCCTCTGCAGTGGAAATCAGGAGGCCGAGAGAGGAAGGAGACCTCGCAATCCCTGCAGACTTCGCCATCGCCGGCGCGTCCGTCTCTGGCGCCCTGCTCGCGGGCCCGGTCCTGCCGCCGCCCGTGTAAAGCATGGCTGGCCATCTGCGGTGGTTCCGACGGGCTGCGCGCCGAGCGCGTCGACGATCTGCATTACTGCGACACTCAGGACGCACGGGCCGGCCTCGAGATCAAGGGCGGGCCGCGCGGGCCTGGAGCTAATCTTCAGCGCGTTAGACGGCGAGATATGCGATGGCCGCGCCGCCGCCAAGTTTAACGACAAGAAGCTGAAGCAGGTCATCCCGAGCGCACATAATAGCTCACCCTCGCAGAAATTAGGAGAGGACCCTCGCGATTGTGACAGGAGGCCACACGGAGTCGGACATCATATTTATGGCATCAGCGGGAGAGATCGACGAGCTGAGCACTTCAGCGAGCGGGCTCGCCCGGATTGTGTCCGGGCAGCTCGGGGATCCGAGACAGTGCGCATTAACTAACGGCCTCGCATGTTTCATGAGTGGGTCGATTCGCCTGTTTCGGCGAGTCCCACGGGCTCTGGCGGGCGTTTTTCCAGTCCTGCCACAGGCGCCGTACAACATTTTTGCCTTTGGCGCCGTGGGGGGTCAATGCGCCGTTTAATCCGAGTGAGGTCCGCCAACCCAAGGACTTGCCGAAGTCAGGTGACATTATGGCCCATGCCCCCATGCGGCCGCGCAACTTTGTATGGGGCGGCTGGCCAGTGGAACCCTTTTCTGCAGCTGTCTTTTGGATTGTACATAGTACGACGGACTCGTTCGAGCACCAGACTCGATCGGTAGGTCTTCCTGCCCTGCCTGATTCTCACCCAGCCTGTCCGCTGTGATTGTCGCTCTGGGCCATGGAAGCTGGCCAAGCGTCGGTGCCCGCTTTAGACGCGCTTTAGTACCATTGCACTTACCGCACATTCCACCTCACTCCGTTGACGGAGAACATATTCACATCTACATCCTCATTTCTCGTCTCACCCTTTTTCGCCTCCTCCGTTGGGATTCCGGAGACCCGCTGGGAGAGGAATCGATGTTTTCCACGGTGCGCAGCCTGTCCGAGCTGCACCGTGGTGACAAACGGGTCATCTCCGATGGGCCCATTCTTAGGTTTTTGGACGCCCCTCTCCTTTGTTTTGTTTTCTCTCTCTCTCTCTCTCTCTTTCTCTCTTTTTCCGTCCCCTATGGTAGCGTGCAGTCCTCCTCCCCGTCCTTTTCTTCCTCCTCTTTCTCGGCTGGGTGCGCCTCGGATGACGGAGGGGTCAGGAGGCCCTCGTGGCTACGCCTGGGCGCGTTTCTTTCGCGCAGCGGGCCAGGGATGTCACCAGCGGTAGGGGTGATAGGGGGCACAATCCAGACGCCGAAGTAAGAACCATTCTGGGATCAGGAGGGGCTCTGGCTCTCGGGCCGCTCTCCAGACCCAGGTCGGGGAACCTGGGCTCCCAGACCAGCCCCCTCTTTTTATATTTCGCGTTCCCATGGTAACACCAGGATTGGACTGTCGGGCGGCGGCGATGGATGGGGAGCGACGTAGGAGGGGGAGTGAAGGCGGGCGGACAGGGGAGGGGGAGGGAGGAGGAGGAGTCGAAGGAGGGCCAGTCGAGCAGGGCGGCCCTCCTTGGCAGGTTACGTTTTGTGTCGGTCGTCCCCGGAGGCTTCTCGTCGCCACGGCCGACGATCGCCGCAGGAGGGGGCCGACGACCGATGTTGAGCGGAATTTGGCCGCCGGGTTGGAGAGCCGCCGTTGAATCAGGGAGGGAAGGCAGAGGGAGGGACGGAGGGCGGGGATTCGGGAGGGAGGAAGGAGGGAGGGGGTGGGAGGGCGGGAGGGGCTACCTGATGTTGCTTTCAGCGGCCAGCTCCCAGGCTCATTGACCCGCGCTCGGGGGCCAGTTTGCCACCCCGAGCGCTCAGTGTCTGACTGTCCCACGGAGCCGAGAGACGGCCCGCACGCCGCGCCGGTGTTAAAGCTCGCCGTCCTCACTAATTTTTGCGATTTACTCTGTTTGAGCCGTTTCGAACCGCAAACTCGTCGTTGTCGTTGTTTCGCTCCCTCGCCGTCCTCGTCGTCGTCGTCGTCGTCGTCGTCGTCGTCGTCGTCGCCGCCTCGTCTTGGTTCACCCTCGTCACCGCCGTCGTTTCGGCGCCGTCGCCGCCGCCAGAGGGGGGGAAAAGGGGCGAAGGAGGGAGGGGGAGGGGCGTGAGGAAGAAGGGCGAGGCAAGGCAGGGGGAGAGGGGAAAACAGAGGTAAGGAAGGAGGGAAGGAGAAAGGAGGAAGGGAAACAGGGGAAAGCGGGAGGGGGGAGAGGAGGGCGGGGCAGGGAAAGGGGAGGCTCGGGAGGCAAGGAAGGAGGAAAGAGAGTGCAGGTGCAGTGCGAGGGGCGGCCAGGGAGGGAAGGGGACAGGGCCAGAGGGAGGTAAGGACAAATGGGAATTTGATGGCCAGGTAAGGGG